CTCCATTCGGGTGCTCCCCCTGCCACCAGAGCTCCCATGCCCCTCATTGTAGTCACCTCGGCCTCTCCCTCTGCCAAAGCCTCTCCCACGGCCTCGGCCTCTCCCTCCCCCTCTTCCTCTGCTTCCTCCTGCAGCTCCATACCCCTCAGCAGTTTTGTTGGCAGCACCACCTCCTGTGTGGCGCCTGCGGAAGTCCTCCTGCAGGATCTGCTGTTGTAGTCACTCAGGCGTCCACTTGTCCTGCTGAACGTTGAGGGTGGGGATGAGGTTGTCCCACGAGTTGTCGAGCACCGAGATGATCTTGGTGCACTGCTGCATCTCCGACACCTTGCTGCCCGCCGCTGCCATCCTCGCATAGGTGTCCTTGATCTTGTCAAGGACCGGCTTCACATCATCTCCCGATCGCATGGAGATGGCCGCCAGCTCCTTCTCGAGCACGATCACCATAGGCAGCGTGTTGGGCTGAATCACGTCGCGCAGTAGCTTCCACGCCTTAGGACCGGAGTCGTCCAACTCGACCAAGTCCTTGATGTGCTGGAACATGTCGTTGTTGACCGATTGCAAGATGAGGTCAAACAACACCATGCTCCGCTCAATCCACCGATCCCGAGCATCTCCTTCCTCGGGCATTTTCTCTTCTCCCATCGCAAGTTTCAGCAGCTTGTAGCGCTTGAAGACGCTCCTCATCCGCCCACTCCATTCCTCGTAGTTGGAGCCATCCAATGCCTCAATCTTGGATGGTGGCGGCTCACTCCTCTTTTCAGCTGCATCTCCACTCCCTTGACTCATCTCCTCTGCTCCCAATCACAGGTTTCAGCTCCCCCTTGGCTGGTCACAATGTAGATCCGCAAAATTTTCACAAGTGTCGCCGCCAACAAAATTTCGGCAGACTTTTCCTTTAGCGGAAGTCACATCCAACCTTCTGAACACCACTTAGGTACGCCCACATGCCATGATGGGTCTAGAAGGGTCTTCACACCTCAGTAGACTCCCCACAAAGTCCTCAATCAGCTCTGATACCACTTGTTAGAGACTAAGGACGGAGTCTATGAAGATTAAGGGCCGAAATATCTCAAAATCGTTGGACCTAATTTCTGGACAGAAATGTCGAATTGACAAGAAACTCTGTCGACAAAATACCCACCAATTTCAGATATATTGTAGCACTAGACCGTGGCTACAATTTCCAATTTGAATCGTATCAAAAGATGGAGTTTTTCTCGAGTTATGAATTTCGGCGCACTAGGGGGTATGCTGCCATAGAAAACTTAACTCAATCACAATTTGTTCTCACAAGTTCCCACACAAGAAAGTTAGAGTAGCAATTAACCAGGTAGGAGGGAAGAGGAGGACGAGAGGGAAGGTCCCCAAGGAGTCCCCAACCAAGGAAACCCTATAAGCACAAAGATTCCCTCCCTATAGGCACCCCACTTTCATCTTTGTCACTTTCCCAACCTCCACAATCCACCTCACCCAACTTGGCCACACTTGCCAACCTGGTTTGGCTTCTCCCAACCACTTGGCAGCATCTACACTAGGAGTTACGAATTTTCCAACCCCCAAAAGTCTATACCCCATATTGAGTCACTCAACAAACTCCCAAATTCGTCCCAATCAAATATGAAAAGCATACGAACTTCGAACGTTCGTAACTTTCTCGTTCTTGCTCCGATCGCGACGATTCTTGGTTTGTTGGAAAGCTCTCAAGCAGGGAAGTCGTTTCAGTTATCTGCTCAAGCATAATATTATTCACAAACACTCAGAAAATCCAAACCACACCAAACACAAATTCTTGCACACGCTCACACCACGCATGCAACACACGAACATATGATGGGAGGCAGACAGACGTGAATGCATATAGTTGCATCACACAACATAGTTAAGCCCCTCTATTTGGTGTGTTCCCCTTCTTTTAATCTCATCCCTCTTCAGCCAACACCACAGCCAGCACCCTAGCAATAAGTGGCAGCAACTGGTGGTGCTCCGATGTCCTCCCTCTTGTGGGCCTCTCATTTGCACAATTCACGCAGAATAATGCGGTAAGCCAGGAAAGTCTGGAAGAGTGGAGATGCAGGCAGAGGTGATGGTAGAGCACGAGAGCATTAACTATAATGTTCAGGGGAACCTATCAAGGTTATTGGCTTAATCGAATGGTCGCAGCAGCCCCACAGAATGCTTAAGTTGCTTCAAATTCTAAGATGTTTGCACTCCTCATTGCAGGACATTGACTGCACCAGGCCATCGACTGCACTCGTCCTTTGCCTCGTAACATGGTGCTTCAGCTGGGGAATTCTCTCCTTGTTCCATGCACCGCATTCTTCTACACAATCAGCATGGGCTTCAGCCCTTGTTCTTCTTTCTTCTACATTTTACTGAATCAGTCATCTCTTCCCAGATCTTCCACTTCACTTTACTTGGCTAAGCAATAATATTTTAGCAACCAAGCTTTCTTCAACATTGAAAAAAATATAGCCGCCCTACTTCCACCTCCAGGGCATATGTACAGTACCTTCTCTTATGTCGTTTAAACCTCTAAAGCAATCTTTTAGAGCCTCACCATGATATTTTGCCATTCTCATCATTCCTCTCTTGCGAACTTTACTCTCCTTTGCTCTGTGTCAGCTCAGCAAGGCACTCTGTTCATCTCGGCCTAATTTAATTGTTCATAGTAAAGCTGTTCTCCATTCACCGTAGACATCTGTGCCTTACTCCCATTCTTCAACCCTTCAGAGCGACACATGCTGGTCCATCAATGTGCAACTGGGCATCACCAGCAGCAACCTCTCTGCTCTCAATCCCGGCCTCGACTGCTCAAAGCCCATCAAGGTGAATCGCTCTCTCTGCCTCGAGCCCAACGCCACCTTCGCTTTCGCCGTCCCTCAGTGCTCGCGATACGGTTGGAATCAGTTGGTTTCGATCCGCAGCAAGCCTACTAAGAGTTCCCAAATGGTCTTTAGTACTAATTTTACTCATCTGAAAAGGCAAGGGAAGTTGTAAGCAAGGTCTTTTAGTCAGAATGCCAGACACAATAGGCCCGGATGTCGCGTGCAAACGCGTTTCGGCCAGCTAAGGCCTTCATCAGCGCACACCGTCCCTCAGTGCTCGCGATACGGCGTGCTCACACCACAGGACACGTGCGAGCGCCTGCTGCGGCAGGTGGTGGGGAGTGAGGGCGACCCAACAGGGACTGGGGAGGTGAATGCCATGCGCTGGGCTGAGCTGTACCGCGACAATCCTGGCCTCATCTGCTCTGATGTCATCCCCATCACCGCCTCTGCTGTTGGCAGCAAGACTGGCGTGCAGGTGAGTGGTGGAGGGGAGAATGGACCAGGAAGGGTGGGGGGCAAGAGATGGGAGGAAAAGGTGGAGGGAAAACTGTGGAATGAAGGGGTGTTCGATGGGTGAGGGTGCAAAGGTCGTCCCTCATGTGCCCTTCGTTCCAACTATTTGCCCTTAATCATTAATAAGGAATGTTTTTCTTATTGTTACAATCTCTTCCTTTTACTCCCTCATTATATGTTCCTTGCACTCCTTGTGTTTGTAAATGGCGCCATGGCAGATTTGCCTACGAGCAGAGTATTGGGCATTCGATGTCGGCGTGTGCAAGAAGGGAAGGCAAAAGCCAGTATCGCCATCATTGACGTGCTCAGGTGCATACAGGTCAGAATGGAGCCATTTCAAAATACTACATGTACAATGAGAAGAAGTGTGTTGGGAGTGTAGGCTCAAGGTTTATTTGTGTGCCGTAAATATGACCTTGGATCAATGTGAGCTTCTCAGTTGGTACGGTACCGGTATGCCAATCTGCATGAGTATCCTCATTATCATCATTTCGATGTTGATGTACACTACTGATTTTTTTACACTTGATTTAATCTGGAAACACCTGCAATGCGGCTGCATATTACCGTAGTATGATGAGTCTGGTATCATTATGCTTTTCAGACATGAACAGAGTATTGCGGTCAATATACGGTACACTGCTGATATTCTGACACTCAATGCATCTGGGAACACGTGCAATAGGGCCGAAGTATGCAGTGATAGCCTTGAACTTCCCATTCAAGAAATTCCGCTCTACCTGCGGCACATTGAAGGAAGTTCAAACAAGAATGTCAAACAGATGCTAGGACCTCAAATCTTTGTGTTCTAACGAGCACATATCAGCACACCAGCAATTGCAGCACAAGACAAGTTACGCACCAGGCAGGGACCAGAAGGTGTGATGGAGTGAGCGAGATGCTCCAAGTGGTGGATGGGAGTGTTGCGAGGCATGGACGTATACAAGCAAGGAAGATTGTGCGAGGTACATGGTCGTGCTCACCCGCCTCCATCCACTACCCACTATCCACACCTCCCACCACCCCTGATTCACTTTCATACGCTGCTGACCCCTGATCCCTTGCGACAGGTTAGTTACTGGGTCATTTAAATAGAAATATGTCACTGGGTTACTGGATACAGAACCCTAAACGAGGTTAGCAATAGAAGCCCCCCACCTTTAAGGCAAGACTCACCGCTTGGCCAGGTGGATGGTGTTGCCGCCCACCCCACAGAAGGCATCCACCACCATGCCTCATGCATCCACCACTATGCCTGCCGCATCCCCCACCCCTGCTGCACGCTCACAATCCCCTGCTCGTATTCCACCCCCACACCCTCCTGCTTCCAGGAAGCCACCTCTTGGTTCCTTTCCTCCTCCCTGCCTGCCCATCGCCGTAACTTCTGCCTTCACCTCTCCCTCCCCTCCATCCTTCCCCTCCTCCTGCCTTGCTTTTACTCGGACTCCTCTCTTCTCGAAAGCCTCTTCTTCTTCTGAACGTATCGGTGCAGTGTGGCCATCACATGTGGCAGCAGCACACGTGGCAGGAGCACACGTGACAGCAAGATGCGTGGCAGCACCATCTTCTTCACAAGTGGCGCCTCCATCTCCTGCGAACATACCAGCACCACCGTCTCCAGCTGACGTGGCAGCATCACCCCCTAGACACGTGGCATCACCATAATCCAGCGCACATGGCAGCATGGTGGGCGGCGATGGCGACAAGGGGCCATGCATCAGCATCCAATTGCACGCCCTCATCGAATCGTGAGAACAGACCGTACCGCTGCTGCCAGTACTTCTCATACCCCGCTGCTATAGCCTCCTCTGTTACAGCCAGCTCAGATAAGACCTGCTCCTCTTCTGCCTGTGAGGAAGCGCCCTCTACAAATACTGTCTGGTGAGCTACAGCCTGCCCTGCTACAGCCTGGTCAGTTACAGCCTGCTCAGGCGTCCATCCCACCCAGCACGCAAGCCCACTCCCCTCGCCATGGTCTGGCGTGTGCCACTGGGTGATGGCGGCTGCAGCATTGCAGAAGTACACGCCGTGGGAGAGCGGCTCCCACACCGCCTGCCATGCACCCTCCTCTGTCACCACCAATGACACTCCCTCTGTCTGTCCTTCCATTGCCCGCCCCTCCAACTCCTGCTCTCCTGCTGTCCACCCATCCAGTATTTCCTCTCCCCCCATCTGCTCTCCCCCAATCTGCTCTCCCCCCATCTGCTCTCCCCCAACCTTCTCTCCCCCCATCTGCTCTCCCCCAATCTTCTCTCCCCCCATCTGCTCTCCCCCAATCTGTGCTTCCCCCATCTGCTCTTCCCCCATCTGCGCTTCCCCCATCTACTCTCTCCCCAACTGCTCAGCACTACCCTCTGCTGTTCGTTCAGTAACAGCCTCCACGACTGCAACCGCAGCAACCCGTGCTGCTGCTTCCATACCACCCTCCACTGCCTCTGCATCTGTAACGCCCTCTGCTGCTGCCTGTCCGACTCCCCTTCTTCTCCCCTGCCTCTTCTTCCGCCCTCCCGGAGCCCCACCATCACCACCTCTAACGCCCTGCTGCTGCACCACAGAAACTCGCAAAAAAAAAAAAAAACAAAAACAAAAACAAAACAAAACAAAACAAAACAAAACAAAACAAAAACAGTGGCCTGGTTCAAATTGAGACGTGTCGGCATCCACGTGTGAGTGTGACCACAGCCCTATCCGCATCCATACATGGGCAAACATGGAACATTCTTTTGCATACAACTCTTTGAACGTCCACCGCTCCCATACTGCCCACAAACGGGCGAACATGGAAAGGGTTGCATATGCAAAGAGAGCACTGCAGAGTAGCTTACGATATCAGAATCAAGGCAAAGGTGTGGACGGGGAGAGCAGCACCAAGTGGAAGAGCAACACCAAGTGGAAGAGCAGCACCAAGTGGAAGAGCAATCACATAAAACTCATGCTCACTCACCACAGCGTCTCGTGCTGCCTGCATGGTCCAGGCCCCTTCACTCACCTTAACTTTCTGTGCTGCCTGCACAGCCCCTTCACTCACCTTACCTTCCTGTGCTGCCTGCACAGCCCTTTCACTCACTTTACCTTCCTGTGCTGCCTGCACAGCCCCTTCACTCACCTTACCTTCCTGTGCTGCCTGCACAGCCCCTTCACTCACCTTACCTTCCTGTGCTGCCTGCACAGCCCCTTCACTCACCTTACCTTCCTGTGCTGCCTGCACAGCCCCTTCACTCACCTTACCTTCCTGTGCTGCCTGCATAGCCCCTTCACTCACCTTACCTTCCTGTGCTGCCTGCACCCGCACCCCTCCACAGAACTGCACTGGCAAGCCAAGAGCAGCCAAGGCGCCTGCCAGCTCCTCATCCTCACGCCCGGAATTCACCTGCGATCCACCCACTGTTTTCCAAACTCCCCACCCCACCAACACCACCCCCTTGGGCCCTGCCGTCTCTTCCGCCTTCTCCCACTATTGAAGCACATGCCATGCGCCCCTCGCTTCCTCCCACGGCACCACCTGCACCCTGATGCACTGCAGCTCGTTGCATGAGGGCCGGCGCCTGGCACGACTGTCACTGGGAGAGAAGGGATATATGGTGAACGGGGAGTGGGGATAAGGTAGGGTCCGGGGAGAGGGAGGAGGGAGTGGAAGGTATGGGGGGGAGTGGGGAGAGGGGAGAGGGAGGGGGTTGGAGGTATGGGGGAGGGAAGGGAGGCGGGAGTTGGAGGTTCAGGGTTTCGGGGAGAGTGGGGTAATGGTTATGCTCGCCTGCCCTTCACCGGCCCACCTTCCCCTCGCCTTGCCTCTACCGCCCCACCCCACCGGCTGAGAGAGCAGGGGGGGATTGGGGATGGCGGATTAAGGATAGAGGTTCGGGGATGGGAGGCGAGGTACAGAGGATGGAGGAAGAGGGATGGGAGATGAGGAACGACGGAGGGGAAATATGGGAGGGAATATGGGAGGGAACATCGGAGGGAACATGGGAGGGAATATGGGAGGAAATATGGGAGGGAATCTGGGAGGGAATCTGGGAGGGAATATGGAAGGGAATATGGGAGGGAATATGGGAGCATCGCACAATTGGCTGTGCTAGATGGAATGTGTGAAACATCTTTCCTGACACTCGCAGGTTTTGGAAGTCGCGATCAAGTTTCTTCCAACTTCCCCAAGCATCTTGCCTGCAGGTTTCTGCTGATGTGGAAGTGTCTGGAAAGTTGATTTGGATTTATCGTGGATTTTCCGCCCTGGGCAGCTCGCGCGTGTTAACATCCTCTGTACAAATCGTTTCGGGATATCTTTGTGTATTCGATTGCACTCGTGCGATAAACTAATGAAGTACAGTAACCATCTTGTCGCGAAAACTGGGGAATGCGAAAATTGTTACAAATCTGGTACCCTCGTGCACCCACTCTGCTGACTGGGCGTCCATCATGATTTTGGAGGCCCTCATTGGCGCGGAAGATTTCGTAGCATCTGGAATCAGGGTATAGCACAGTGCAAACGTGTCCAGCTGAACATGAACTTCGAGCAAACACAATCGAGCCACGTAGGCACCCCTGCTGACGGAAATCGTCACTGAAAATTATGGTTCTGTCAGATTTTTGCCGCAACCTACCCCTGCTACCGTTTGTCAGTCAAAGTGTATGTCGTCAGTGTCTAGTTCGATGTCGTGTGTGCACGAATTGAGAGAGAAATTGCACCTCCTCTGATCTAGTTTCTCGATTTCATTCGTACTGGTATCCAGAGCCTAAACTGTGTTAGCATCCACAGAAGTCCTTGTAGGCCCACTCTTAGTGTATTTGTTTTAGGAGCATACGTCTCTTTTATCTCGTCTGTTTTGTACCACCAATACCAAACTCCCGGAGCCTTTGAAATTGAGATACGGCATGGTCGCCTTTTTTTCAGTTTGGGTGACAATAGATCTAGACCGGGCGGGTTCAAGGCGGCCACCAATCGGTGCGACATGCGCCCTGTCGATTTGGATTCACCGGGCGGCACGGGTTCCTTCGTCAGCAGTCGCCATTTAGCCACGGACTTCGAGAGTGTTACTACACTACGTGGGCGACAAGGAGAGTCTTCTAACAGAAGGCAGTGGTGAGTTTTTGCTTTCCATCTTATTCTTGTACTGATTTTTTATCGTTTTAGGGCAAATCTGGGTTTGGTGCACATCACATTCGAGGTTCTTTTATAACTTGTGTTTGATTGCAATGTTGTATAGGGCACCCATGTGTGCTATTCTCTTGCATTTACGGTCGGTTATGTTATTCACACCCTATTTTTTCTTTCGATTTCTTTGCATTGCAAGGTTTCAAGGTCTCTGGAACGCTGTTCTACCCCCAGCATTGACTCTGGAACAAGGCTGGAGCTACGGAGGCGTGCTAGGGAGTTGTTGTAGGAGAGGTGTGGCGGCTGCTGCTGTTCAGTTTGATAACTGACGTATTGTACCACTTTTTTAGTGAATTATTGAATGGATAATGAAGCGTTACTCTTGTGAAACTGATGGTTGTAAGCTCAAGTTCAAGACCTCATTAGAGAAAGCCCTGCATCAGTGTTTGGGTATACACAGCTTTGATGAAGCTGAACCAAGCTCAGCAGGTCCCAGCTCTCGTCCGTTTGGTGCTCCTGCGACCTCTTGTGATGCAGAACATTTGCGTAGGCTACGAGATGCAGGTGAAGCTCTGCTTTCGAGTAGTCGGAAGCGGAAAGAGCCGGTAGTCGATTTGGACAGACCCTTTCCGGAGGAGGATGCAGCCGTTTTAAACACCGACAGGTCCGGCTACGACTACTCGCCGACCGGAAACACATCGGCAGTGGATATGGATGCGACATTTTATCGGTTTTGCAGAACTGCAGGTGGCGGCTCTTGTCTTTCTCGTGCAGACATAAAGGAATTGGTTGACTAGGTAGTTACGGCGTATGAGAATCCCGGCCACTTTCACCTAGACAGCCTACAAGAGTTTGATTCATACGAGGAGAAGCAGTTGGAAGAAGAGGGTTTGGAGCCGTTTAAGACCGTTGATCTTACAAAAGAGGGTGATTTGAAGAAAGTGTTGTTTCACTTTCGATTGTCGCAATCATGTGTGCGAGCTCTATATCAAAATCAGCAAATGCAGAGGGTTTTGTGGTGCGTCCTCTGGTGTTGAATGCGAAGGCCGAACAAATCTACAAGGGTGCCGAAACCGGCAACTGGTGGAGAGAACTACAGGCGAAGCTCCCCCGCAAAGGATGTGTGGCAGCTGTGAATATCTACTCTAACAAGACGACGCTGACGCTGAATGGTGGCGTGAAAGGATGGCCGATATATGTATCGTTGGTGAACATCTCATTGGCAAATAGGTGGCGTTTGCATGGTCATCGGCTCTGCGCACTTCTACCGATAATTGATGACCAAACGATTACCAAGGCAGAGGATGCACGCCGACGACATGAGGTTTTTCAAGAGGCATTGAACCTGGTTCTCGAGGAACAAAAGCGAGTGCAAACCGAGTAAGTGACATTGATTTATGTTGCGTATGCTTGATCATAAATTCTGCATTCCTAGTACACTCGCTCCTAGGATGCCCTCTCTTACACCCTGCCCTGCTATATTCTTTGCTCTGCCCTGCTTGCTCTGCCCTCCTTGCCCTGCCCTCCTTGCTCTGCCCTCCTTGCTTTGCACTCTTTGCTTTGCCCTCTTTGCTGTGCCCTTAGGCTCTCCCCTCCTTACTCTGCACTCCTTGCTCTGCCCTCCTTGCTCCGCCCTCCTTGCTCTGCCCTCCTTGCTCTGCCATCTTGTTCTGCCCTCTTTGCTATGCCCTCATTGCACTGCCCTCCCTGCTCTATGATCCCTGCTCTTCCCTCCCTGCTCTGCCCTCCTTTCTCTGCCCTCCTTGTTTAGCCCTTATTGTGAAGCCCTCGTTGCTCTGCCCTCCCTGATCTGCCCTCTTCTCTCTCCCCCCCTTACTTTCTCTGATCTCCTTGCTCTTCCCTCCTTGCTTTGCCCTCCTTGCCCTGCCCTCCTTGCTCTGCCCTCCTTGCTTTGCCATCTTTGCTTTGCCCTCTTTGTTGTGCCCTTAGGCTCTCCCCTCCTTGCTCTGTCCTCCTTGCTCTGCCCTCCTTGCTCCGCCCTCCTTGCTCCGCCCTCCTTGCTCTGCCCTCCTTGCTCTGCCATCTTGTTCTGCCCTCATTGCTCTGCCCTCCCTGCTCTGCCCTCCCTGCTCTGCCCTCCCTGCTCTGCCCTCCTTGCTCTGCCCTCCTTTCTCTGCCCTCCTTGCTCTGCCCTCCTTGTTTAGCTCTTATTGTTCAGCCCTCATTGTGCTACCCTCCCTGATCTGGCCTTTTCTCTCTCCCCCCTTCCTTGCTCTGATCTCCTTGCTCGTCCCTCCTTGCTCTTCCCTCCCTGCTCTGCCCACCTTGCTCTGCCCACCTGGTTCTGCCCTCCTTGTTGAGCCCCTAGTGTTCAGCCCTCTTTGCTTTGCCCTTCCTGATCTGCCCTTTTCTCTCTCCCCCCTTCCTTGCTCTGATCTCCATGCTCTTCACACCTTGCTCCGCCCTCCTTGCTCTGCCCTCCTTGCTCTACCCTCCGTGCTTTGCCCTCCTTGCTCTGCCACCATTGCTCTGCCCTCCCTCCTCTACCCTCCTTGCTCTGCCCACCTTGTTCTGCCCTCCTTGTTTAGCCCTTATTATTCAGCCCTCCATGCTTTTCCCTCCCTGATCTGCCCTCTTCTCTCTCCCCTCTTCATTGCTCTGATCTCCCTGCTCTTCCTTCTTAGCCCAGCCCTCCTTGGGCTGCCCTCCCTGCTCTACCATCTTTGCTTTGCCCTATTTGCCCTGCCTTCACTAATCTGCCCATTTTGTTCTGCCCTTTCTGATCTGGCTTAAAAAATCAGGTTTGCTCTGCCATCCTTGCATATGCCATTTCTGTTTATTTTGTGAGATGTGGTTGTTCGTTCAGGGGAGAGATGCTTGCGGATCCGTACGGGATTGATCGGTGGGTCTACCCACACACTTATGCAAATGTTGGGGACTATCCCGAACAATGCAAAGTGGGAGGCACGAAGTCTGGCATCAACACCAAGTATCCTTGCCCAAAGTGCAAGGTGCCGAATGACAGGCTCAGCGACATGACCTACGAGATCAAGTACCGCACGGAGGTCAAGCAGTCGCAACGCGTGGCAGCGATACAGGGTGCACGGACAAAGCGCGATTGGAACGATCTCGAGGTTCTTTACAGCACGCATGGCGTTGAGGTATGTCATACAGAGGCTTGTCTATTGTCATTTTAGTTTGTTCTCTCCTCCTAGCACCCTTGTTTATTGTCCGTCCATCTTGTGTCTCCTCTCATGCAGTGTGCGTTTTGGGGATTCCAACATGGCAAGACGCCGTTAGGGAACCCTTATCGGCAGCTCATGGTTGACTTTATGCACATGTCTTGTTTGGGGTTGTACAAGCATATTCTAGACTGCTTGAAGCAGAAGTGCAGGGAAGTGCCGGGTCTGCTGGATGCCCTGGACAGGGATCTTGCAAAAGTTTCAGAGTACAGCAGACAGTCCTTCTTCAGACTCCCTGCAACGACCGATGGGTACTTTAGTGGTAACAATACATTTTATGCGTTTCAACGTCAGGCGGTGATGCAGGTCCTACCTGTCTTGCTGTTGCGGCAAAGGGGTGAAGCCGGAGTGGGTGAGACCAGTGGAGCTGTATTGTCTAGGGCATGCGCAGGCGTGGCATCGCGCGTACCACACCGAGGATACGCTTCGAGCTCTTCACCAGCTCACCTTTAAGTAATTTTAAGTTTAATAAGTCCCTTTTGGTTATCATACTCCTGCCCTAAAAATCTTTATCATAACTAACGTATGCCCTTGTTCGCGTGTATCTTGCGTGCGTGCGTGTGCGCGCGTGCGTGTGCGTGCGTGTGTGTGCGTGCGCGCGCGCGCGTGTGTGCGTGTGTGTGTGTGTGTATGTGTGTGTGTGTGTGTGCGCGCACGCCCGCGTGCGTGCGTGCGGCCGTGCGTGCGTCCGTGCGTCCGTGTGTGCGTGCGTGTGTGCGTGTGTGCGATTGCGTGTGCGTGCGCACTAATGTGCGTGCGTACGCGCGTATGTGTTTATGTGTGTATCTATATGTGTGCGGTTGTGTGCAAATGCGTATGTGCGCGTTCTTATGTGCGCATGTGCAACCAGGATCGTGCCACTGCTCATCGCAGAATTCAAGAAAGAGCAAGGCTCTGCTTTCAACATCCCCAAGGTTCACACGATGCTTCACGTGGCTAATGACATTCGTCGGGCTGGCATTCCCGCTCACTAGTGTACAGACCTTTACAGCACGTCCACATCGCCCTCATGAAACGCCCCTTCAGATCATCGAACAGGAGGAACGCCGAGGCATCGATCACAAGAAGATGTCTTGTCTCTGAGCTCATTGAGCACATGTCAGCAAACGACGTGAAGGTGGAGGACTCAGAGGCAAGGACTACCGCTATGAAGCAGGTAACGTTCCGTTGTTCATTTTACAGCTCTTATAATTAAGATTCTGTTTACCATTTGTAATCACCCATCATTCTCACCATATTCTCCTCTTTATCCAAACGCGATGATTATTGCACAACCACACAGTATGTCCTTTAATGATATGACTCTATTGCTACATCTACCTACCCCATGATAACCCCTGTTAGGCATTGGAGATCGGAACAGCTGCGATAACAAGTCAATCATCGACGATCGACTATCGCGCCAAGAATGACAGAAGGAGAGATCTCCAGGCTTGCACCATCCCGGGAGATCTTGGCGTCATTGGTGGGTATGTGGAGGCTTTTCAGAACAGGCAGCCGCGCGTGCCGGGCGCTGTTCGCGTTGAGTGGAGCTCGGAGTTGGACGTTCATAATGGCATTGCTGTACCACCAGATGATGATTTCAATAGGTACAGTAAGTATCCGGCGTACGCACGTGCCGTACACAAGTTTTATGGCAGACCATGGTATAGCGATGTTACAGTTCTTGGGGAGGACGCACAGAGGCGCACTACAACGTGGCCAGCTAAGTTGTTGATTTTCACATTGCATGGAACAGCATGGCGGAAGAGACGAAACGCTGCTACGGGCGTTGAGGTAGAGGTGGAGCAGCCACTTGCAGAGCAGGTTGCATTTGTGCGGTATTACCGCAAGATGCCAATCACGGAGGCCAATCCTTGTAGACCTCTCGCTTGGGCGACTGGGACAAACACGTATGGGGAGAGTATTTTACGCGTCATCCATGTTGTGCCAAAATTGAGTGATGTCAAGAGCGACGAAGCTAGATTTTATTGGAATGAGTTTAGGTGGTGATGTTATAATATGTTTGCATACATGTGTGTATTATTTGTACATATACCCCATTTTTCGTATTTCATTGTGTTTGTCCACTTGGGATACAGCTACTGAATTTAAAAATCATAGTCTGTTTCACATGATTTATGACTCTCGGCCATTTGATACCAGCTCGCTCGTGTTTATTGAGCAGGAAATGGCACCTTTTCGAGACTAATTGTAAAATCTGCTGCGCTGAGTCGTCACGATACACACAGTAGCCGACTACAGTGAGTTGCGTCGACCTCTCTGCGCGTGAAGTGGCGGCAGTTGCACTAAACGGAGCTCGCCTGCCTGTCGTTGGCTGCCAGGCTGACTCAGCTCCAAGTACTGTACACGACAGGCTGGCGAGTTCGGTACGTATGTGCAACCGCCGAGTGTCGTGTAATGTCGTGTAATGTTTACTGTGACAGCCATCGCAGAACGTGTTCCAGGCTGTCACAATGGTAGCTGTCGCATGTCTGAAGCGGGCTTGGAGCCTGTTCTTTGGCCAGCGTGACGCTGCAAGTAACGTCGCACGCGGTAAAATAAATACTACAGCTGTTTTCGTATGCCACGTCAAATTCTTTTAAGGCAGATTCTACATGTTGGCAAGATAGGTTCTTTGTGGTGGGGCAGAGGTTTAGGTACCGAAAATATTTTCGGTTTCAACTTCATCTGCAGTGTTGATGCTCGTCTTCTTTCGCTAAAAGTTTTGTTTGGATGGACTTGTTTTCCCTACTAAATGCCCAGAACTTCTGAGCGCTTTATGCGCTGCTAAATAATGCCAACAAGTGCAGCTTTTCTAAAAATGTCAAACAATGCTGCAATTTCATCACTGCAGTACAATGCACCAGCAAGTTTACAGCATAGTAATGCTGCCATACGAGCCTTCCACCCATTGGTTGAAAGAGCAGCCATGCACCCACTAGTTTCCAGCACAGTAATGCTGCCATACGAGCATTTCACCAGCAGCCAACAGGACCATCCATCTTGTTGACAGCAGAGAAGAGCTTCCATGCTACCCATTGGTTGATGCAATTTCACCCACAGCCACAAACACACTGCTCTAGACAGCACAAAAACGCTGCCATGCTTGCTTACTCCCCATTGGCGCAATCGTATCACCCTCAGCCAAACGAAACAAAGCTGCACACAGCACAGAGCAGAAGCCATGCTGGCTTGCTTCCCATTGGTTGAACCAGCATGCTATGTACGCCCTCCCCGCACACCCCATCCAGACCTCTTCTTGCGCACGCCTCTAGTTCTTGTGCAACCCACTCTTCAGGGTGGTGGTTTGCGCTCGACAAGATTTTCCTGCTGGTCTGGCATGACTGGGGCTCGGAAATTTGAATTTTCAAAAATTGAAACTTAACTTAGCCTCTCTGTCGACAGCACACTCATGTTGCTGTTTCTCCCTTAGCTGCGTTATCTTAAACATGTGGAGCACATCATTCTTCACACATCATCGTCAGCAAGGTTCGCCGCACTGAACCCACCTAAACCAAGCGAGATACCCTCGTCAGTCAGGCGAGTTCCTTCCAAACATGTGCCGTTTGGTTGCTATAAGAATGACGTGTGTGAATGTTTTTTCCAACATTCCAGCAACTCTTGTTTATGCAATTACCTCTCGCGCTCATTAAGTATGGGCGGGAACGCTAATATCCAACTGCCTGCATCCATGAAGCTCGCTATTCCGCCCAGAGCTATATACCCGCGGCGTGCCGAGGCTGACCATCTGTTTGCTCTGGGTTAGTTTTCAGTGCATTACAATTTCTAGTTTCCCAACGATGTTGTTTTACTGAGAATTCATTAATTGCTTGCCTAACGGTTTGTTCTCTTGTACCAGGTGGGGCATCAAATCCTATTCAAGACGCTCCTCTTGAGGGCGCCAAGCGCAAACGCTTGGACCGGGAAAACTTTTCCGGTCGACAACCCCGAGGCTCTTCTGCGACTACCACTAGAGGGCACTCCAATAACCTCCTTGAAACCGGCGACGCTCATGGCTTAACGGGTGTGGCAAGTTCTACTCATGAGTCTCAATCTATTCCCCAATCCCCTTCAGCAGCAGGGACTGGTGTACAAACTCCTCCTCTGCCGGTCGATGACGGCGCGTTCAATTTTCCAGACGTAGAAGCCGAGCCCGAAGTTGGAGGTGTGTAACATTCTGTCGTTTCTAACTATGTGGTCGATTTGTGTTCGTTTCCTTACATTTTTTGTTTGTCACTCATTTCAGATCTTGAGAACGGACTGTTTACACGGATGATGAAAGACACTCTTGGTGATGATTTCAACACGGCGGCGGCTAAGTTTCACGAGGAGTCCCGAGACCCCCCCCACAGGACGATGACGCGAAGGTGCAGTGCGCGCAGAAGACGAAAGAGGCAACGGCTTTGAAGGAAGCGTGTGCGATTAAGGACAGCCACATCAACAAGGCGCTCGGAATCATGGGGACGCTCACTGATCAACTCACGACCGAGCATTTTGGGAAGCTCCACGTGGAGGTATTGTTGCATTTACCCTCAAATGTATCCTCTACTTCTATTCGTTCTGAGTTGTTACCATTTGTACACAGGGAATGTTGAAAGGCACAGTCAATGATCTCCTGTTCACACGCGAGCACCTCGATCTCACCCCGGACCGCCCCAAATTCATGGACCGTCTCGTTGGTAAGTGTTTCAAAGCAATTTTTTTCTGTTTTACCGTCGAATGTACTAACATTGTGTTCCGTCTTCATGCAGTGCATGCCAGTTTCATTCCTGGGACCGATGATGCTGTTAAATGTCAAGCCATCATCAGGGAGAGGGGCATATTAGGGGACGTGGAAAAACGCTTCAACAACCGCATTGGGAAGCTCTACCATGAATTCCGCTGCGCTATGCGGAAATCTCCGCTTCGTCTACCAATAGTTGCTACTCGCGTGGGTCGATCAGTCGCGTTTCAGGTTTTGCCTGAATTTCCAG